CCACATATCTAGTAGGCTCTCGAGATTTCAGGAAGGGACAGGATCTTTCTAGAAGTTCATGACATGGTACTAGCGTCACGTGACTTCCGCTGTTGTAACATATGTATTATGTGTGTTTTATAAATCATATTTGAACAGTTTAATGATGTTTATAAGTTTAACTTGTCACCTGGATTTTGAAAGGTTATAAACAAGATGGCATTAGTTAACATATGGGAATAAATGATAATAGACAAAGAATTTGAGAGGAAAATTAAAAATAAACAATAAGTGAAAAGATAAAGATTTCTATGAAGAGTTGAAAGGTACGTATATATTTCTATTTGTTAATTTTAAACATTTCATTGCTCTGTATGTCAATGATAATAGATAGAGTTAGTGATATAGTAGAGAAAATAGAAAATAAAATACATATATTTTCCTTAAAAATTTTTGATATTCATTTTTGAGGTTCTAGAGATTATATTAATGATTTGTGAAAACTGTAAGATAAAAATTAGTATTTTTATATTTCATATCCAATCACCTTGCCAGTGAACTATTCAAAGGGCAAATGCAAATAACTACATTAGATAACAAGTATTTTATTAGAAGTAGTTGAAAAAATCAAAATTAATTATTTTATTTTTCTGAAACTATATACTTTTAGAAACGTTCTTTTAATATAATTTCATCCACTAGTTTTGTTTTTGTAAAATGTTCGTTTGTTTGCTTGTTTTGAAGTTAAGCACAAAGCTACACAATGGGTTATTTGTGCTCTGCCCATCACAGGTATTGAAACCCAGTTTCTAGTGTTGTAAGTCTGCAGACATACCGCTGTGACACTGGGGGGCGTTTTTATAAAAATATGATGAAAGCAACATCACCTTCTCTCTGATAAAGTAGTTGTAAGTAATAGGGTTAATTGCTGTATGACAAAGCCAAAATATATAAAAAATACAAAAATGTTTTATTTCACATATACTCTGTATATATGCCTTGCATTCTGTTCAACTCATGAGCTCAATTTCTAATGGTGTATATTTATATATGAATTTTAAAAGTTTTATAATTTTTTGAAACTTTCAGTGCTGACTGAAGGATGGAAACTATTTCCAATGAAGACAACAACTTCAGATAAATGTTTATTTATTTTACCCGATGTTTCAGCTTATGCATTTTTCAAGGGTCTATGAATGTCACAGATCAATGAACAGAGCATAAGACACAACATAAGGTAGAATAAATAAATATATATATATCTGAAATTGTTTGCTGTTTTCATTGAAAATTTTAAACATTCTTTGTATTGTTTACACTAGAAAGACACACCGTTCATGATTTACAACTTAAAAGTAACCACCATTATGGTTAACAGTTACATAATATTTGTTTTCTACTTCACATAGCCACTTGGTGCATTTAAATGTTCATATTTTACTCATAAGAACTTAATCTACATATATATGAAACAATTCAGGATAAAGCTCTAACAACCATCTGCTATATGTACAATGATTTTACCAACCTAGGAAATCTCCTCAAGATGGAGGGGGGAGGGGGTAAGTAAGAATTAAACACAGTAACCAATATTCTACTTACCAATGAATCAATGATATTAGTCAACATGTTCATGGCTTCCAATCTAAAGCTAACATCTTCCCAATGTGATGAAATGACTACACATGGTTTAGTTTCTTTCCATGGCAAAAAGTAATATCTACAACCATCAAAAACAGCATTAGTAGGTTGAGTTGTTGAAGGGCTTGGAGTTAGGGTGTATTCAAATTTGTTGCCAAAGTTACCTGAGATAAAGAATTAAAAAAAAAGCTTAATGTGATGCTTCATGCATTTTACATAACCATGTAGTACACTACACATGTAATAGATATAATATAAAAAAAATCATCATACTTGCAGTATAAATTCTATCAAGTTCTTCAAATATTAATATTAACA